CGGCGGGTCCTGCCGGTAGAAGACATCTCCTCCCAGTCTGATGTCCACGTCAGCCCAGTATGGGGCCACGAAGGGGCGGTGGCCGGGCAGCGGGAAGGGCTCAGGGGTGAACTCCGGGACCCCCATCCCAAAGGACACCACCCCATTGTTGTTCACCTGGAGGAGGCAACCATCACCCCGTGGTAAGCATCACCTGTGGTGGCTCCCAACCGTGGTGGTCCCCAACTGTGAAGGCCTTCAACCCTGGTGGCCCCAACCACGGTGTTCCCAACCATGGTGGACCCCAGCGACGTGTCTTCAACCATGGTTAGCCCAGTCACAGTATCTTTGATCGTGGTGACCGCAACCACTTTGATTCCAATGATAGTGGCCCCAACTATGGTGGCTCCCAGCTGTGATCTCTCCCATCCATGGTGACCCCAACCATCTTGAGCCCAACCGTGGTGTCCTCCCTCATCTTGAGCCCAACCATGGTAGTCCCAACCATCTTGAACTCAACCATCTTGACCCCCAACCATGGTGGCCCCAACCCTGGTGGCTCCCAACCACAATGTCTCCAACCCATGATGGCCCCAACCATGTTGATCCCAACCATGGTGGCTCCCAACCATGATGTCTCCATGATGGCCCCAACCATCTTGTTCCCAACCATGGTGGCCCCAACCATCTTGTCCCCCCACCATAGAGGCCTCCAGTCATGGTGTCACCTACCCGTGGAGCCCCAACCATGGCGTTTCCAACTTTGGTGGCCCCCAACCCATGGTGGCCCCTAACTGGGGTATCTCCACCCATAGCAGCTCCAACCCATGGTGCCTTCAACCGTGGTAGCCCAAGCTCGTGGTGTCCCCAGCCCATGACATCCCCAACCCATGGTGTCACCCAGCCATGGTGTCTCCACCAATGGTTTCTCCAACACATGGAGTCCCCCCCAGCATCACCCAACCCATGGGGTCCCCAGCGGTGGTGTCCACAACCCACAGCACCCCAAGCACCCCGACCCATGGGGCCCGGGACCCACGTAGAGGGAGCGGTGGGGGTGTCCGTAGAAGTAGAAGGTCTCCGAGAGGAAGATCTCGGGGCTCATCCCATCATCTTCGCGGGGGGTGGCCGCATCCCCGACCTTCAGCCCGAAGGGGTAGAGCAGCCCACCTGGGGGGGGCACCCTTCAGGGACCCACGTCGAGGAGCGGGACCCCCTCCTCGCCGTGGGTCTGGGAACCCCATGGTGGCCCAGAAGCCCCCACGTCACTGTGGGACCTTCCAGTCTGGATCTGGGACCTTCCAGTCTGGGCATGGGACCTCTCAATGTGGGTGTGGGAAGCCCCCAGTACGGAGCTTGGACTCCCAGTGTCACCCTGGGACCTCCCAGTACGGGGCTGGGACCCCTTGGGATGATCTAAGACTCCTAATGTCACCCTAGGGCCTCCCAGTATGGATCAGGGACCTCCCAGTGTGGGACTGGGACTTCTCAGTGTCACCTCAGAACCTCCAGTATGGGTCTGGGACCTCCCAGTGTGGGCCTGGGACCTCCCACTGTCACCTCAGAACCTCCCAGCCTGAGTCAGGGATCTCCCAGTATGGATCCGGGACGCCGGTGTCACCCCTGAACCTTCCCAGTATGGGCCTGGGACCTCCAGGTTGTAGATTTGTGACCTCCCAGTGTAACCCCCGGATTTACCAGTATGAGACTGGGAACCCCTCAGACATGGGTCTGGGACCCCAAACTACGGGGCCGCACCCCTTGCTCCGCCCTCTGCCCCCCAACTTACCCCCCTGGTTGTCCTTCGTGGTCACAGGGCTGCTCCCTGGGTGCAGAGGGGACAGGGTGACACCCATGGGTGCTCCACCGTGTCCCCATGGTGTCCCCACTCCCACCAGTGTCCCCCAGTCACCCAAGGGTCCCATGGGTGCCCTTCATGTCCTTATGGTGTCCCCCAGTCACCCATGGGTGCCACCCATGTCCCCAAGACATACAGGGGTCACATGGGTGCCCTCCCATGTCCCCGTGTTGTCCCCCACTCACCCAAGGGTCCCATGGGTGCCCTCCATATCCCCACGGTGTCCCCAGTCACCCAAGGGTCCCATGAGTGTCCCCCATGTCCCCACGGTGTCCCTGAGTAACCCAGGGGCCCCACGGGTGCCCCCCATGTCCCCGTGTTGTCCCCCAGTCACCCAGGGGTCCCATGGTTGTCCCCCATGGTGTCCCACTTACCCGTATGGCCGAGGAAGAGGAGGAGGAGAATGGTGGGAGCCTTCATCTGCCCAGGCCTAGGGGAAGAGGGGGGTGAGGGTGCTTGTCCTGCCTTCATCCATCCGTCCATCATCCACCTGCCTGTCCGTCATTCATCCGTCCACCCGTCCTTCAGCCATCTGCCCAACTGTCTGTCCATCCTGCCATCTGCTCTTCGTCCATCCATCATCCATCCAGCCATCATCCATCCATCACCTATCTGTCCTTCATCCATCCATCCATCCATCCATCCATCCATCCATCCGTCCTTCATCTGTCCTTCATCCATCCATCCATCCATCCATCCAGCCATCCATCCATCCATCCATCCATCATCCATCTGCCCTTCATCCATCCTTCATTCATCCTTCATTTATCTGTTCTCCATCCATCCATCATCTATCTGTTCTCCATCCATCCATCCACCTGTCCATCCTTCAGCTGTCCATCCATCTGCCCATCTGTCCTGCATCCATCCATCCTCCACCCATCCATCTGTCCTTCACCCACCCATCCACCCATCCATCCATCCCTCCCTATACCCAAGCACAAGTGTCCTCTGGGTGTCCCTGTCCCCTCCAGAGGTCCCCTGCCTGTCCCTGTTCCCATGGGTGTCCCAGTCCCTTCCAGATGTCCCATGGGCATCCCTGTCCCCACGCACACATCCCATGGGTGACCCTGTCCCCTGCAGATGTTCCCTGCCTGTCCCTGTCCCCGTGGGTGTCCCTGTCCCCGTGTCCCCATGCCTCGCCATGTCCCCCATGACCTGACGTCACCCATGTCCCCGTGTCCCCCCATGTCTCCAATGTCCCCACAGCTCTCAATGACCCCCCAGGTCCTCCAATGTCTCTGTGTCCCCTCCCGTGTCCCCGCTTCCTTCTGATACCCTCTCCTGTCACCCAAAATGTCCCCTCCTGTGTCCCTGTGTGTCCCCACATCCCTCAGTGACCCCCATTTCCTCACCCGAGTCCTCCAATGTCCCCTCCCATGTCCCTCAATGTCCCCAATGTCCTCCAACATCCCCCCATGTCCCCACTTCCCCCCATCCCCATGTCCCCATGTCCCCTCCTATAGTCCCCTTATATCTCCATGTCCCCCCATGTCCCCGTGTCCCCCCCCATGTCCCCAGTGTCCCCACGCTCACCAGGGTCCCATGGCCCCAGTGTCCCCCATGTCCCCCAGTCCCTGATGTCCCTGTCCCCATGTCCCCCAGTGTCCCTCCTTCCCCACGTCCTTCTCATGTCCCCTCCCATGTCCCCCAAGTCCTCCAATGTCCCCATGTCCCCCAGTGTCCCCCTGTCCCCATGTCCTTCTCACGTCCCCTCCCATGTCCCCCAAGCCCTCCAATGTCCCCTCCCCTGTCCCCCAATGT